ACTGTCGTTTTAACAGTGGTAGTCTAAATCAGTGAAAGAACTGTTCTTATTGGTTTGATGGCTACTTTTTAAAAAGGTAACAAATTCATCTTTGTGAGAATATTGGTGTTTTTTTTTACCTGACTTTATATGTTATCTTGTGTATAGTTAATTTTACTGTGATTAACACATGTACTATGTTATGACTCCTATAAGCTGTACTGCTTTTGGAAACATCACCCCACCTCAGCCATAGGTGAGGTGTATTTGAGAGTTAACCTATGATACCCCACCTCACCCTGCTATACCATTTATAGGGCTATATTTGTTTAACAAGTCTCCTTCCTGTGAATTTCCTCTCAAGTGTGATGTTTAAATGAACTTTCAAACAAAGCTGTCATGTAATTAAGTCTGGACAATATTACTATGAACCCTCAGCAGGGGAGCATATCAAAATGACAGTAGGTCAATGGAAGGTAGCCCCAATAAACAGACAGCTCCAACAATGGGTGGGATTCCTTTATCTTAAGTGATACAATAATGGCAGATTGTGGTGTGATTCAGGGAGTTTTAGGTCAATTGTTTGTAAAGCTTATCTGATATGTAAGGATTCTATAGAGGAGCCCTCCTTTACAGTGTTGGGTCAGTTCATATATAGACAACAGGTCAATATAGTATTGGTCAGTTCCATATGCTGGTCACTATATATCACTGGCTGATGTTTTAATAAAGTATCAGGATTATAGTACCCAAATCCGATTCAGTTAATAAAAACTGTCTCCTTTTGATCTGTCCTAAGCCTGTAGGATGAAGGTTTTCACCTGTTAATGTACAGACAGAAATAACTTTCTGATGGTTTTATAGCTAGGTTATTGTTACTATGATATATACATTTATTTTTTGATTGGTTTATTTTTTATTATACTAAAAGAAATTTCTGCTGTCATTGTAGTCGGATATTTGCTATACTGAAATTAAAAAAAGAAATGCTGTGCTACCTTCCATCCATACACAACCCTGCAATTGTCAAAAACTTATTCTGGTGAAACAGTTGTGGATACAATTTACATTTGGGTACATACCATTTTAATATATATCTGTGTGTTTCAGGGACTGTTCAGCCATGTTGACAACTTTGTGGACCAAGAAAATCTGTCATTCCATGTTAAGATCAGGTAAGATGCTTGGAGACCCACAGGGCAGGAATAGGCCAGTATCTCCAATCTGATCATGTGATCAAGGATGGAGTGCTTTAATCTTGTTTAAATGGGCAAAAAAAGAAAATAATATCTTGTTAATAACTTATTAAAGGAAATTTAAATAGTAACCAAATTTGATCGATGTGATTTCATAAGTGTCTGATGTATCTTTCAGTTATTTGGAAATCTACAATGAGAGGGTTCGAGATTTACTGAGACCATCTTTGCTTAAGAAAAATGAGAAGTACACATTAAAAGTACGGGAACACCCAAAGGAGGGACCATATGTTCAGGGTAAGTTTACTGTTGGCTTTTAATTCAGGGTAAATTTATAGACAGGCTGCACTTCAGGCGAAATTATCATGTAAATAAATTCCCTGAAGAACATGTCATTTGTTTGAAATTGTATTAAATGTATGGATTAAATTTAGAAGAAAAAAAAAGTTTATATGTCTCATGTTCACCTGACTTTTTTTTAATTTTGAAGATTTGTCAACACATTTCATCAATGACAACCAACAGATCCAGGCTATTCTGGAGAGGGGCAATGAATACAGGTAAGATTTATTAAGGGATGGAGAGGGTAACAATATAGATAAAATACAGGTATGAAAATATAGTGACTGTAATCAAATTTATTCTCCTTTGTTGTTCAGGGTCTCTAAGTTACATTTAGATACAGTACTGACCATTGTGTCTGTAGGTTCACACAGTTTTTAGGTCAGGAATATTGCACAGGTGTTTCTGCATTATTATATGTGTCTCTACAATGACCCAAGAACTTTGTTTTGTAGTTAGATAAGTACAGAATTATGCTTTCCTTCTTCTGATGACCTCCCTAGGATGATGATCCAGTTGTTTTTCTTCTTCATTCAATGTTTTCCTTGTTTTATACTTGTAGAACGACTGCATCTACCTACATGCATGACCATAGCAGTAGAAGTCACGCCATTGTTACCATAGAATTCACTCAGGTAAGGCTTGTGGAGGTAGTCATCAAGGCCAGGTCCTTCTAGTGATGTATTTAAGCTATTTTAGTGTTTTGAACACAATCCCCCAAAAAAATCAATATGAAAATTTTCAACAAGATATACAGAATATGTGTCCTTAAGCTGGAGTCGATTAGGCTGTTAGGTCAAGGTCTGAATGAATAAACCACTTATAGTTGTAAGACTGGGGTAAAGCCATTAGGTCAAGGTCATACAATGAACATAACAAATACAGTTGTAAGGCTTAGGTCACAACCAAGAGGTCAAGGTCATGTTGGGATCCAAACAAGTCTGGCATAGTCAGAAGATGATTGGATTGTCAGTTTTGAAAACAACATGAGCTTGTTGGAACCTTGAGGGATGTTGTGGTAAAATAGCCACTCTTATTTGATGTGTGGTACAGAAGCATAGTGATGACAGACTGACCTGGTGTTATATATACAGTGGTGAAGAGACCTGGCACATGATAGACTGAGAAAACCTTCCCCACACATGGGGGTCTCTAGTATATACTCCCATCAACACAGGCTCATTCTCACCTCACTTGTGTTTACAGAAGACACACAAGTTGTTGATTTCCTGGGGCTAAATGTCATTTTGCTTTTACTTTGGTAGTTATTTGTTCTATTCTTTCAAGGCCATTCTGCTATTTTTTCTACAACTTGAGTTATACAGGATGATCTGTGATCAATAGTATCTACACATATACTGTTATGTTTTTATCATGTTCTCAAACATCTTTTCCATTTCTTTATATTTAAAATAAATAATAACTTGCATCACTTTTTATTTCTATAGTAATATGGTAATAACTTATTATATGGTATGTAATGTTAGACAGGAGTGTTTACTCTGGAGTTTCTTATCTTTGATTTGGCTATAAAACATTGAAATAGTTCCAGATTTCCTTTTTCTGTGTTTTGACTGTACATCAGAGCTGGCATCATTGGCCTGCTGTGGGCAGCATGTACCATCTGTTTGGGTGTCTGTTGTAGTGGGTCTGCTACTACACTTAAGTACCTAAATCTGTAAATCTTACCTTATCCTAAGATAACAGAAGATAATTCTGTCGTAAAAACAAACAAGGAGGTATAGGGAAAGTTGCTGTGGTCTGAGGGATGGATATCTGCCTGGCAGTTTTCTGCATGCTACATCGGGAGTTTCTGAAATAAGTAACAGCTAATCTGCTGTTGATGCAGTTAAAATTGGTCGCTTGTGTAAAACTCAAGCTGATGTTAGTTTTCTAAGCTGGGAATATTGTGTGT